ATACAGTATATACTGTATTGCTGTTGTCCTATATACAGTGGGGGAAATAAGTATTTGATCCCTTGCTGATTTTGTAAGTTTGCCCACTGACAAAGACATGAACAGTCTATAATTTAACAGTGAGAGATAGAATATAAAAATCCAGAAAAGTACTTTGTATAAATTATATAAATTTATTAACATTTTGCAGAGAGAAATAAGTATTTGATCCCTCTGACAAACAAGATGTAATACTTGGTGGTAAAACCCTTGTTGGCAGCACAGCAGTCAGACTTGTTTTGTAGTTGATGATGAGCTTTGCACGCATATCAGGAGGAAGTTTGGTCCACTCCACTGCAGATCCTCTCTCAGTCATTAAGATTTTGAGGCTGTCGCTTGGCAACTCTGAGTTTTAGCTCCCTCTGTAGGTTTCTGATGGGATTAAGGTGTTGAGACTGGCCAGACCACTCTATGACCTTAATGTGCTTCTTTTTGAGCCACTCCTTTGTTGCCTTGGCTGTATYWTTTGGGTCATTGTCATGATGAAAGACCCAACTACGACACATCCTGGCAGAGGGAAGGAGGTTGTTGCTCAGGATTTTATGGTACATGGCTCCATCCATTCTCCCAGTAGCTACGTTTACATGAACATAAGTAATCAGATTAAAACGTCGTTCAGAATAAAAATGCGTCATGTAAACAGGCCGTTCSGATTATTCTGATCCGATTGAGCTCGATCCGAATGAATTTTTAATCCAAATGAGTCGGGTGGGTTATGCCGATTGATAGTCGGAATGGCGTTCATGTAAACACTTAATCCGATCATCTTAGCTGCATCTTAGTCAGAGCTGACACGGGTCCATTCTGAGCGCACAGAGGAGCTTTGTTTACATTTGTAACACGGAAGTAGAGCTGAAAGTTTACAACATTGTGCATGTCCAGACTTTTATTCTGAATAAAACTCCGGTGCATGTAAACACTTTTCATGATCGGATTGTGTCCATGTAAACAGTACATTCAGATTATTTAATCCGAATACATTTCAATCAGATCAAAAAGTTTTGTGGATGTAAACGTAGCTTTTGATGCAGTGAAGTAGTCCTGTGCCCTTAACAGAGAAACATTACAAAACATGATGTTTCCACCTCCATGCTTGACAGTGGGGAAAGTGTTCTTTGGGTCATAGTTGGCATTTCAATCATTGCATTTGAATCAGGTTTACTCTGATGTTGCACCACTGTCATGTGGGGTACCCCAAGGTTCAGTTTTGGGTCCAATCCTCTTTTTATTGTACCTATACCCTTTAGGAGGTATTTTAAAATGTTACAGTAATGTGTCCTTACAATTTAAAACAGCTGTCTTTAATGATAAATGGACTGAACTTTACTGCAGGTAATGAGTTGATTAGGAGCGTCTAACTGGTCTGTAGGAGCCAGAACTCTTAATGGTTGATAGTAGATCAAATACTTATTTCTCTCTGCAAAATGCAAATAAATTATATAATCCTACCATCNCTTACAATTTAAAACAGCTGTCTTTAATGATAAATGGACTGAACTTTACTGCAGGTAATGAGTTGATTAGGAGCGTCTAACTGGTCTGTAGGAGCCAGAACTCTTAATGGTTGGTAGGAGATCAAATACTTATTTCTCTCTGCAAAATGCAAATAAATTATATAATTTATACAATGTGATTTTCTGGATTGTTTAATATTCTATCTTTCACTGTTAAAATGAACCCACCCTTAAAATTATAGACTGTTCATGTCTTTGTTAGTGGGCAAACTTACTAAATCAGAAAGATCAAATACTTATTTCCCCCACTGTATCTTTCTATGTTCAATTTCATAGTATAGGCTTGTGCAATGACAATAAAGACTATTCTATTCTGTTCTATTCTATTCTATTCTTAAAAAACACAAATCTTTACAGGTTTTCAACATTTTTGCACCATGTGATGCTGATGCAGKCCTGAGAGAAGTTTCCACGTAACAGTTTCTGACATCAGATTATTACAGATATGTTTTAGAAAAGGGAACATGTTTCCTGTTGATCAGGTATGAGTGTTTACCTATCAAGCAGTTTCTGTGTGGCAGATACTTGCAGGGTTTTCTCATAAAGGAGTTGCATCTCCTGGTTTCCACTGACCTGCAGGTTCTGTTTGTACTGTGTCTCCAGCAACTGAAGAGCTTCAGTTTCCTGAAAACACATCGGTGCAAGTGTGTCAGTAAAAAACGTCCATCTCCTGCAGGATTACTTTGAACTCATCATACGTGTTAGAAAAAAAATCTTCCACAACTTCTCTCTGTTTGCTTTAAAAGTTTAATTATAGAAAAATGTGAACATGACCAATCTGGATCGGAAATCGAGTTTAGTTCTAACAGCACCGATGAGCTAACAGCTTGTCAGAGCAAAACCAAGATTTTTGTGAATTTCTGCTAAAACAACTCAGACCTCCAAAATTAGGAAGTGCTTCATGCAAGTTTGATTTTGAACCCACCCATCAGGCTGAACCCAGAACTYTTTGATCACATCAGAAGACAAAATAAAGTGTGATGAGGATCAAGATGCTTTCTGTACCTGTTCCAGGCGAGTCTGCAGGAGGTTGCTGTGTYCCATCAACCTGTCCTTAAAATCATTCAGACACCGGTGATAGATCTGTTTGGCCTCCTCAGGACTTAGATCCTTTTGTTTTTTGTTGGGGATCAGGAACGGAGCCAGGAAGTCTTTCTTCTGCTCCTCCTGCCACCTCATCTCTGCCTTGGCATCCTGCAGCTGCACAAACAACAGAGTGACACTGACTCTGCTTCATGGTTTTAAATGGATCCCTGATTAATTGTAACATTAGACTTTATTTGATAAACATTTATTTTAACTGTAAAAT